TGGTCAGAGAGGTGAAGTGGTGTGCTCAAGGTCCCACTGCCGAGGTCGGATCAGGGAAGAGGAGCCTCGCGTCCTGACTTCTCAGCCAACCCCTAAGGATGTGGCTGCTCACGCTGTGGGCATTAATGCCACGAATTCCCACCACTCGCAGGGATGACAGGCTGTGTTCCCTTCACTGCCATTTTAGTTGATGTAACTTCTGTCTCCAAAAAAGACTGTAAAAAACACAGGGAACCCTATATGATTATCAATCACTTGACTGGGGAAACTGTGGCCGTGACCCTTGGGCTGAGAGAAGGCCATTCGAAAGGGAGCTCTCGCCAATAAAAAATGGGCAGAGCGAATGGCATTTGTGATAAAAAGAGGTGACCTGGCACCACAATATTTGTCCAGATTCAATGCTAACAGTGAAGACCAGAGTGTCCAGCTGAGCCACAGCAGGTCCATGAGACAATTTTATCTATGCTCTCTTTGAGGAGGAGATGGCCTGGCAAGGAAGGCACCATGACTCTCCCCCCACAGGCTGAGCAGGCAAACACCTCCAGCTACCACATTCGGCCCTGGCTTAGATCCAACCCACTATTGCAATGTCCGTGCTGCAGAATAAGCTTTGCGTGCAGAGATTGCATTAGCCTTGGATTCCCCTCTCCTGGAGCGAAGGGAACCAGCATGACCCATGAAAACCTGGGTTCGCTGGATCTGGAGGTAGCTGGATCTTGGCTGCAGTTTGAGTCAGACCAGAACCAGCCAGCAGATGTGGCAGGTATCTTAGTCACGGGAAGACATCCAAGCAAGGTTAGCTACCTTCTTCAGTGCTATGCTACAGCTGGAGACAAAAATGGACAAAATTCAATGACCTGTACTATATAAGACATTCCAGCAGACGATCACAGTGGCCACTTTGATTTTTTAATTAGTGGTTCCATTTTTCCATGTTAAAAATGAGCTCAATTATCATTTGATTTTGCTTTTCTTTTTCGGCTCTTGTACATGCCTCCACCTCCTGCTTTCAGCTAAGCCCGGAAGCAGAAGTATCATGTTACTATGAGAGAAGCTAGTTTTGTGGTATTTCCATCCCATCCAGAGCCAGGAAACACAGACAATTTTGCAAGACAGCTTGTACTCAGTAAATTTCCAGCTCAGTTTATATTTCTGTATTTATTTAGATTTGTGCTAACCATGTAAAAGAGCACGCATCCCAAGCGAGGTGTCCTGGATAAACTTTAAAAAAACAGATTTCATAGACCAAAAACCCTGAGCACCAGCTTTTTCACTGAACAGGTATCTTCTGGCTAAGTCCTGTCTTTGGAAAAGACAGCCAAGATTGACAAAGACCTGATCAGTTAACTTCTGATAACACTTAACACTTCACAACAACTCCAAGGTAAAGTCTTAACAAGTCTCACCAGCAAAACCACCAGTATGGACAACATTTTCTCATTCTCTTGAGAAAAAGGAAAAAAAGACAGCTGCCAGCCTGAATGGATCTTCTGCCTAGTGTCTTTCCTTTCCTTAAACTTTCTGCCTTCCCTTTCCTTTTGTGCATTTATAAATTATGTCTGTGGCACCTTGTGTGTACAAAGCTCACAGTGTTTTGCTAGGTGCATGAAACCCCCCCACCCCCTCGCCAGCCTTGCTCTCCCCACGCCCCAGCCGAGCAACCAGAGATGCAGGCAGCTGTGGCAGCTTTCACAAGAGGAGCACCAAGGCTCCAGGACCCCAACTCTCTCCTCTTGACTCGTCTGCTCCTTTAGCAGCAAAGGCCTGCCACAGGCAGGGGGAATAATGCATTTGCAATGGGATGGCAGCTGTCCTGCTTGTTTAGGGCCGCAGCCAGCCAGCCCTTGCTGCTGCACGCCAGCGTTTCCAAATGCCCTCGAACCGAAGTGTGGGTGTGCAAACCACACATGATCCTACATAATACTTACACCATCGGCCCTTACGACAGACAGATGGAGGGTTGGGAGCGTATTTTGGAGGCACCAAGAATTCTGACGTCTTTATCAAATTAGGGTGAAAATTTTCATGCCAGATGAAACCACCGTTACAGCTCCCCCGAGCCTCTCCGCAGGGCTAGGAGTGGGCCTGAACCACCCGCAAAAGCCAGCAGAAGCTGACTTGAAAAATAAAAACCCTGAGCCAACTGCCATGCTCCAAGACCAACTCAGGACTGAAAACATTTTTTTTTTTTGGAACCCTTTTCCAAAGATGCTGTGTGCTCAGGACCATGCACTCCGAACAGAGCCACAGGTCTCTGCAGCTGCACCTGAGCTAACGCAGCTCAGGGATGTCTGAGGCCCTAATGCCGCGCTGGGTGGGGAGCAGGGCGGGGAGAAAGAGCGGGTAACATACCTTTACATATTTTGTAAGAGCGTAAATGCTCCTAGGAGAGGATTGGGAAATTCTGGTTCACGTATCACTGGTGAGAGACATTACAGAAAATTATGATGCCGTGCCAAAGTCCATGGTTTTGCATGGCAACTCAGTGTTACAGGGAGCAAAGCCTACACAGCGCAGTGCAGTTCAGGGGTCAGAAGAGAAAATTTTGTAAAAGGATTTGGGGCCTCCATGGTGTAATTGGATCCCCAACTTGTTCTTCCCATCTGGAACAAAATTGTGGGCTTTCAAACGGGGCGGGGGGGGGGGGGGGTACGGGGCCTGGGTAAGGTCTCGGTTGGCCATCAGCTTTGCTCTCCGCTTTGCAAGGCAGCAGCACCACTGTGACGATGTCCCTTCCCATCACAAGCCGTCGCAGGCTGGGGGCTCCACCTGATTCAGGCAATGGATCTAAGCTGCCTTCCACTGACAAGGCAAAGGTTTTTTCCAGTCCATTAGGTTAAAATTTGGAGTAGAAGCCGTTCAACTCTTCATCTCACTTTGCCATCTCCACAGTTTGCTTGCTTGATAGGCTATAGATGGCTTAAAACACCAGCTAAGGGTTGAAGATTGTGCAATAATTTACCACAAGAATGGTTGTTAAAAAAAAAGCAACTGCTTGTACCAAGTTAGATACTGAATATGTTAGTTGACAACATGATTTACAATATTTAAACAGAGTTATTAAAGTGGAAAGGACAAGAAATTGCGAGGTCAACCATACGCCTACAGGTTTAGATTATCGGTTTGGCTTCTCAGCTGTACTGCAATGGTCTGCGATGCTGGATGTGGCGAGTCCTCAACCTTACCTGTGGGCAGCTGAGGGTGGTGGAGAGATGGAGAGAGAAAGCGAAAGGTGGGGGTAGCAGAGTAAGCAATCTCCTGTGCAGAACAAAAAAGATAACTGTTGGCTGTTTGTAGCTACAAAAAAACTTTGAAATTGCAAAGTTGTAAAGGCTATTTGTCTTGTGCCTTGCAACTTCCTGCTTCAAACTAAAAAAGTACAGCGTATAAATAGACCAGGCAAGTGTGAACTGATGATAGCAATACACTTCGCATTTAAAATTCCTGGAGCTTGAATCTCTTTTTAGTTGTTTCATGTCTATTTGGGATGATTTTGTGCAAACATGGGACGTTCAGTTCCAGTGCCTGCAAACAGGAGTCACGTTGTCCGTGTTCCTGCGGGCATTCTGGGAGAGCAAGAAGGTTAGCAGACTTAAATCTCTGCTTTCTCGACTTAAAAATAAACTTGGCAGCCACCCCTAGAAAACAAGCACGCTCTCTCCAAAGAAAACATCCTCGCCTGCAGATGCTTTTGTCACAACAGCAACGGCTGGGGAAACTAATGAGCCTAATTCCCTCTTAGGCCACACCGGAGTGAAGCCACTGAAGGCCGCGTGGCTGATGCCGAGGGAGACGTGTTCCCTCCAACGCCTACTGAATTAAATAGGCATCTTTGGAGAAAACATTTCAAAAAAACGGAAGCCTAAGCGTTAGGCTTTAAGTCCTGCATGTGATACAGCTCCTGTTTGTGCCTAGGAGTTCAATTTTAATTTTTGGCTTTTTTTTTTTTTTTTTCATGTAACTGTAATCTTAGGTTGAATGTTTACTGTATGAAAATAGAGTGATGCATTTTCTCTTATGACATCCTTTCTGCAGCAAGCTCTAGGAAAAGTAGTAGCAAGCAAGCTCCTCTCTACTTCAAGTCATGCTATAGAATATAACAGAAGAAAGCTACTTCTCCTCAAAAACTCTGCGGGTTAGTATAACAAGTGCACAGAAATAACAGTATGCTCTATTTAATAGCACTTCTCTTATTAATTAGCAAATGGAGGTTTTTTTCTCACTAAGAAGAGACCTCATTCTTTTCCTCATAAATGTTGACTCTCTGTAACAAACACAGTTGGAATTAAAATGAGTATATCTTGCAGTTCCCCATACCGGCTTGTAAAGCATTTCCTTTTTTCACAAGACCACAAATTTCCTTCGACTGGGTTCTTTCAGTTCAGAAAGACAATGGGTTTCGGCTGTTTGTCTTCCTCAATCCCTTCACCTAGAAGAGAGGGGAAACCCCTTGTCTACCTCTCAGCGTGCTACTTGAAGCAGTTACACTGAAAACACCTTAAAAAAAGAAAAAAACCAAATCTCACAGACACACAGAAAACCCCACCCTAAAGGGAGAAGTAACATAAAGCCTTGAAGGTCAGCCTGTGCCGCCTTATTATTTGAGGGCTGGATTTCCAAAACTAAAGTCTTGAACTGGGGACTGCGGGGACACGGGGACTGCATGATGGGCAGCAACGGGCTGCTGAGGCCCACCAGGAATTCCCTCTCGAAGGCATGTTGACTGGCGCAAACGCTAGTTACCTACGTGAGCTCGCACACGCGTGTGCCTACTATGTGCTTTCGGTGGCTTGTAAGCAAGGCGGGACCAGCAGCCCTTGCGAGGCTGCCCTGCCGCTCTCGTGAGGGACCAAGGCATATCCATGGCACATTTATTCGAACAGTTTAGCCTCCCACGCAAGATAAACAATCTGTGTTTCCCAAAAGTCTCTAATTCAGCAACACATATTTGCACACACCTTAAGAAGAAGCGAGACAAACATATATAAAATGACACACTTTATTAAAAGTTACATTCAGCAGCAATGGACATATTTACTTAAGTAGATTTTAACTGTCAAGGAGCTTATAATTATAAATCTCTCTAAGGCATAAAAAGCTCTTAGATGTTTTAACTTCTTTGCAATCATTTCATATAAATAGGTAAGTATAACAGCTGATGCTTGCCTAAAAAGAGGATACCCCTGCTGCATTAAACAAAGATATACATATAAATATATGTATAAAACAATGATTTTTGTTTCCCTTGTTACAAACTTACTGATGGAGATATTTCACAAACTCTAAGGCTTGGGCTCTGGCCCTGCAACTGCTATTCATGTAAGAAGTCTCCTGCTGAAGTTACTACTTGCATGGGAATGGACTGCTCACATGGATGAGAGCTGCAGGATAGAGCCTAAGCTTTGGCAGAATCAGCAAAAATGTCAAAATGCGCCAGTGAAATATATTTACAATCTGTGCAAGTAGCATTACCTACTTTTATCGATTATGGAGGTCTTTCTCCGAAGCTATAAACAGCAGAAAGGCACCGTGGCAAATGCTAATTGGCATCTATTAGCTCTTAATTTTTGACATTTCAGCTCTCCCTTCTAGACAGCAATAGCTGGGCTCTTGAGCTGAGGCGGGTGACAGTCAGGGTGCAGGACAGAGAGAGCACCGGCAGCATGCAACTGCAGGCACAAACTCAGGGCACAAAAACATCAGTTCTCAAGTTTTCCAGCTCAAACAGCAGAAACCTCCCTTTATGTGCAGTGGTTCTGTTGATTTGCCAAGCGTAAACAACAAAAGTGCCAACTACTTCCAGTATTAGCCAACCCTCACCCCCCAATAAATAGTGATCATTTAATGTATCTTAGTTCCAATAAACTGTGCCTTATACCACTAATAACCATATGTGTGTGGGGAAGAGGAAATTAAAACAAAAAGCTGTGACTAGATCGGATGAACTGCATAAGCTAATTTGAATTAAACAGCTGTAGGGTCTGAGTTTCTACAAAGTTAGGGTGATTTCACATTTGCGCGGAAGTCCTTTGGCTTCATGGTTTACAACAGGTCTAGTCAGAGAGACAAACGTGGCCTTATTTTACACTGGAGGTTGGTTGCTGCACGGCACACGGCTGATGCAAAAATCCCTGAATAAATTCCCTGGAAGTCTCGCAGTGCCAAAGGCTATCTGGTACATGAAGCCCCTTCCTCACGGAGAGACAAGGCTTACTGCAGGGGTTTCCACCAGCACTGCCTCACCAGAGGAGGAGCATCGAGGCCTCATATACAAAAAGCATGAAAGCAAAGCATGCTCCAAGATTTATTCCTAACAGATCTCAGTCATCCATTGACGACAACTGCTCTTCCGCATTCTGCTGCAAGCTCCCTTCTTGCCTAGGAGATTTCCTGCCATCAGCTCCCCAGGCCACAGCTGCATTTGTTCCTTCTCTCCAAGAAGATCAGATAACATTGAATGGGAAATATAACTCCTGCCTTGGATGCACAAGTGCAGTCTAGATCAGCTCGAGCCCAGCTTCTGCTGCCTTCAAGAACTCCTCCTGCCTGGGGACGAGCTGAAGCCTGGCTGCACTGGGGCTGAGAGTAGGATACCAGCAGAAGAGGTGTATGTAGGAAATTATTTAGTCCCTCATGACTCCCTTCTATTGCGTTTGTACCACTGCTGGTAACCAACAGTTGCTCTTCACCTTAGCGCATGAAGGCAGAGCGTTGGCTGCATCAAAGTTTCTGGGAGAACTTCTTACAGGAAAAACACACCCTGAACTTACACACAGCTGTCACCTCTCACAACCAGGATGCTCTGTGGGCTAAAGGAAAGCCAACAGTGCACTCTGCAAAGATAGAGACTTTCTCTTCATAAAATACACAAAACCCTGCCTTCCACACTGTATTTTTGAGGGACCCAACTGAAGCCAAAGGGAAATGTTCTAATGGTAGAACAATCAGACCCTGAAATATATTATTTTTATCTCCTCCAGCTCATTGACAAGCAAAAGAGATGGCTTCTAAGAACAGGTCTGAATTTGGGATTAAGGGAGGGAAATGCTCCTCCTTTCCCTCTAGTCTAGGTCTGTTGGTCTGAATTGTGTCATAATAGTAAGATAGGATTTCTTTAGGGATATATTAGAAATACTGGAGCCAATAACATTTTCATCTTTGATCAAAATGACTTTTTTAACAAAATGGGAATGTCACAGGGGAAATCATTGCAAAAATATTTTGGTTTAAAAATTGACTGCACTGTTACTAACACCCTCCACTTAATGGAGACATGTTCACAGGCACCAAGCACAATGAGGTGTCCAAATTCCACCGAAAAGGAAAGTGAACCGGGACTGCAACTCCCACTTGCGCCCTGAAAATCCTCCCCTAAAAGCCTCTTGGGCTCTTGTGGAGACCCTGTGACTTTTCTTTTTAAAATCATCCCAGAAAATACAGTAAAGAGCAGAACCCCGCACAGGCGACTCAGCTGCTGCCTTTCTTCGAGCCCAGAATGAGAAGGGACCTGCTTGAGCATTTTCCCCTGTCCCCCACCACCCAGGCCTTCCTGGAGAGGCCAGTCCCCCAAACCCCTGAATCCCGGAAGGAAGGGCAAAGGAAGGTTAAACCCAGGATCCTTAGCTCAGAAGAAAGCTGGCAGAGCATGGTGCTTATTTACTGAAGTCAGCCCTTGCTGATGGTGTGTTTATGGGAGGTAATGACACCATTACGACTCCCCCTAGAAAGACGTTTCTAAGCTTTTTACAAGAAACAAAAAGATTTCCCGTACACGCCTCAAACTATAGGTGTAATTTTTTTTCCTGAATCCTCCACTGGAACCTGAATTTAAAACACAGTTTAACTCCTCAGTATGTGAAATCTCACAGCCATGTTAATCGAGAACATCTGAATCCAGGAGAAAGAAATCACTTCCAGTTATGTTGTCAGTGTTATGCGCATAACATTCCCACAGCTGTAGATCCATTGCGCTCCATGTTATAAATAAGAAATTGCATGGTGACAGCTAAAATTCAAAAGCGTTAATGTTTCTCTTTGCAACTCTTTTTCTTTTTTTTCTTCTTCTTTTTTCAGTCTTTTGAGGTTTCTCCCCTTTCCCTCCTAGCAGAAGTTAACTTGAAGCAACATTATTGCTTTCCCCACTGACATATTTACGGTAATTAAAAAATAGTAAATGCCAAGCAAATATGACTAATGTTGCTACTTGGCAAACAAGACATGAAATAACTTCTATTGATTCTGAACCAGGCCGTTGCATTTGCGCTAATAAACTTCTCTCCTTCTGCTCGTCGTGGTTATTCCACTGCGTGACGGAGAAATCCTAAGGCAGCTCTAAGGATGCGGCCGAACGCTGCCCGGACGTGCACCGCACACAGTTACCGCTGAAGCCATTGAGCTGCAGAGCGCGAGCCCAGCTGAGCGGGGCCCCCTGGACGAATACAAACCATCTCCCTTGAATCTCTCCCATTCTAGGTTGTGGTCCCTTTCAACCATTGAAAAACAGCTACAAATTGTTCCCAGAGCTAAGCCACTTAACATCTTGGCACTTGGTTGTTTTTAACTTTGTAACAATAGGCACTGTTCACTCCTCTCAATCTCAGCTTTTTATTCTATAATAAAGCAGGAATACTGATGAAAGGCTAGTCACGGCTTCTCCCCATGGTATCAGGGTGGTGGCATGTGATGATTCACATGGGGTGTGTTTGATCCGAGAAAGCCCAGCCTCTGCTTATTCTTCCTTTGTTCTGTCATCTAAGGTGGAAAGGCAGAGAGACAAGTTGAGATTCTTTTTTTTCCGCTTTTTACTATTATTTAGCAGTCACAGAGCAAGATACATATAAACAAAACAACAGGGAGTGGAATTCTTCTTTTTTTTCCCAGCATTAAAAATTACAAGTGAGAGATTCCTTTGAAGTGAGAGAGCTGTCTCCTGCAAAGTATGGACAAAGTATTCTCATTCGTACATTATTCTTTTTCAGTGGCAGGTTTTACAGTATGTTATTTGTGCTGCCATTGTGTTGCAGAGCCCAGCAGAGGGTCAGGATTTGCACTTGGTGCTGCACAATCACAGAATTAAAAGATGGTCCCAGAGAGTTTAAATTTAAGCCAGGAGAGAACAAACAGATTCAGCCAGAGAGGGGTGAAAAAAACAGCAGGATAGTATGGGTATGCGCAATAAGCCACGGTCTCTGCACATCCAGCCTAAGCCTTTGTCAAGTTTTTCATGGGCAAAAAGAGTTTTAAGAAGAGATTTGAAGGGGGATAATTAGATAAATCTGCTAATGTCACTGGTTGTGCTTCCCATGGAAGAAAACACACAGATGCTCCTCTGAAACGGCAACGAACACGCCAAGGGGAACAGGCGTCTTTGGCAGAAGGGAAGAAAAAGCTGGCCTTTTCTCATGAAGGGAGAGAAAAGGTGGTTCAGGCAGAAGCAGGGCTTTCAGGGAAACCACGAGCTCATGCGCCACACATAAGAGAAGCGGGAGCTGAGGGAGGGACACAAAGACAAGGGTGGCACAGGCAAAGCAAGAGGCTAGAAGAACGGTATTTGCAACAGCACCGTGACACTGTTAGTGGGGAACCCATCCAAATGTTACATTTCAGCAAGCTCTTCTGCTCATTTCAGTCAGCATGCAGCTAGCTATTCCTCATGCTAGTTATTTTTTACAGCTTCTCCTGGGCCCACATATGCAAAGGCCAATATCACCTCCACAGCTTCTCCCTACCATCCTCACACGCTCGCCGCCAGGATTTCGTAACTAATTCCCCCTCTGCCATTCTCCTTACCCGTTCTCTGCTGTTGCTAATACAATCTCATACACAGAATACAATTTCACTCCAAACCCGCACCAGTGTATCTACTCAGAAAGTGCACTGGAGGGAAAGATAAAACCTTTCTAAGAAAAAAGTCTCTTCTGTAAGGCTGGCCTGTCCGTGACTGATGGAAGCTGGAGCATTCACACCCACGTGCGCTCAGGTTGCTACCCAGTGCAGGGGTGCCTACCTGTTCCTTGAGCTCAGCAAGCTGGCTGGAAAGCTGTTTCACAAGGCTCATGGTTGACTCCAGCCTCTCTTGCAGGTTCCTAATTTCATTTTGCTCACTGTCACCTTCGTTGCTAACCAGGGACATGGCTCTCATCCGAGGGAACCAGTCCAAATTCTTCTCCTGTGTTAGAAAAATAGTAATGTTAGTAGGGGGCCTATCCAAAGCCACCAGCCTGAGACTGGAGAACAAAAACTCGGAAGGATTTCTCCTCAGCAGAGGATACACAGCAAGTGAACTTCAGAAACCATAAATTCAGAAGGTATTTTCCACAAGCCTTTTTATTTTTGGTTCTCTCTGTCAACATAGAAAGCACCAATTGTAAAATCTCAGTTCCCCGCAGCTGCACCTGTATTGCAGTGTGGGCAGTGCTGGCACATTCACCACACACCCACAACACTGCCATGCAGAAATGCCTGCTGCCTCAGCTCTGGGGAGACTTCTCGGGTACACGAACACCAGCAAATCCTGAGCGCTCCCTGTGCTTTGTTTCTAAATGTATGCAGGGACACACTTCCTCCCTGTCTCTTCAGCCTGGCCAGCCTCCAGCTGTTTCGGCTGTCCTTGCAGCAATGTCAGGGAACCAACATCAGGATGACAAGACAAGCAGGAGTTTTGTCTGGCCAGACTCTGGCCAGGCCTGGAGTGCCTCTCCTGCAAGAGCAGGGGGAGCTTGGGTTGGACTGAGCGGCACGTGATGGACGATCTGGGGTCCTGGGAACAGCTTAGGATTCAGCGCGCTATTGGGGTTGCACAGCCCGGGCACAACCCCATGGCCACGGGCTACGGACTGAGCATGCAGTGGAATGCCACTGAATTGAGTGGTTCTCTATTCGTGGACTCAGACTACGAATCTAATCATATTAAAAATACTGTAAATAGATGATACAAGATGCATATCAGCACGAGGCTGAATTGTCTTCATTGCTCAGGGGCACAGATATTTTTGTGCAAAGTATAACAAAGCGAGATCAGAGGATGCAAGCCTAGGAGGAGGAGTGGCAACGATGTGGCAAGCAACCCAATTTACCTTAAGGCAGCAGACAAAGGAAACAGGTCCTGTTTCTGGTGATGCGTTACATCAACGCACCTCTGCCTTCCACCTTGGGGGAGTGGGAGGATGTGGTTAGGTCATATGCCTGGTGTTTTGCAACAGGCATCTGTGGACACGTGCACTCAATTGCTTTAAGAGAAACAGAATCATCTGGAGCATGTTTCTTCCAGTCTCCTGTGCTGTCAATGGCTCCACACAATTAGCACTATTTCCCAGTAAAAGAAAAATCTGGTTCTTCCCAGAAGTCCACCTAGAAGAATCTTGGCAGGCAAGAGCTGTGCCACACGTACTGTCTGGGCTTACTATCTGGTAAAGACTCAAGTGCATGAAAGTTGCTGTAGCTTCAAGACTTCACCTATCTACTTATTTGGTTGCACCATGAAAATACAAAAGCCAAAGTTAACTCTGCATTTCCCACAGCTAGGCAATCCTGGGGCAGCCGGACGTGAACAAGTCACATGCAGGCTGGTCCGACAGAATTTATGAGCCTGGGGAAGCACCAAGCAAATACAGTTACTCTGCTTTCAGGGACAGCTGGGTCCTTTCGTCTGCCCTCATCACCAGGCCTTCCTACAGCAACATGGTTTAGAAACAGCCAAGCCAGCTTTTGGTAAGCTGTTGTAAGAATGGAAGCACTTATGGGATCTATGTTTTTCCATTATTTGGGTTAGCCCAATCCCCTCTGCTACCCTGGATAAAACTGTAAATGCAACGCCATGAGGGTTTTTTTTGTTTTGTTTTGGGTTTTTTTTTTTCTGTCTTCTCTTTAACTCAAAACTTCTAATGAGCTTTTGTCTGGCTGTGCAAACTCTGGTCCTGTCACTAAAATGACAAGATGGCCAAGGAGCAGGGTGGCGCCCCTTGGTCACATTTTGCAGTGCGGCGCTCAGTCAGCCGTGTGCGCTGGTGGAAGGAGGCCTCCCCTCGCTGCCCACTCTGGTGAGCCTCGTGATCTCATTATGACAATTTACTGTGGTTACGCAAGATGCCGTTTTCAATGGGTCATAACTCATTCAAATCAAAACCTGTTTTCACCAGCTCTGCTGGTGAGCTCGAAATGAGCATGGCAATCACGTGACACTACCCTGCTGGATACCCCCATCGGACACACGGAGTGGTAGACTCCTGCTTCTGCTGCATGTGTTTATGCTTACAAGACCAGCATTCATTTTCCATGAGTACGTTCCGATATTTGTTTTAAATTTGTTTTGGCTACGATGTAGCAGAGCATTCATCACGTGCCTAACATTAAGCACAGGTGTAGTCATTTATACTAAGCTTAGTTTATGCACAGTGCTTTGCTGGATCAATGCCTTTTTTGCAAAATGTTTGCCAGCAAATTTGACTGCCACTACCCTCACAGAAAGTGAATTCAAAAGAGCTACAGTGCACAGAGCTGCAGTTGTATCCGAATGTTTCCCGGAAAGCTCTGATATCTGCACCCATTTCAGCCTCCGCGGCTTGAAGCACCTGAAGCTACCAAACATGAGGCCACATTGCCATAGGAGCCAAATGATGTCCTGGAAGCCCTTTTTGGCACGGCTGACTATAATGCCAACATTTCTTAAGCCAAGCTGCACAGGGAGAGAGCAGTCCGAGACTCTATCGCTGTGGTTGTTGCATTTGCTGAGTATTGCTGTCAGGACTGTGAAATGCAGTGTTAGTTTTTTTTCGCGTCTGTCACTCCCTCACCTCTCCAGAGCGCAAGGCAGGGACTGCCTGAGAAGGGTTTCTACAGACACATCCTCCGCCGCCCTGAAACGTTCGCAAGGACACAACACAAATGCGAACCAAGTCTGGATGCCAGAACCCTCCTTCTCTGCATAGTGTTGCATTTCCTGGGACAAAGGATGACCGGGAGCAGGTGAAGACCGGGACAGATCACACAGCACCCTGCCCACAGCCACGTTAACGCTGCAGTGCTCATGGTAGCTCTTTAGCCTGAACCACTCCGAACCACCTGCTCAGCCATCGGGGCCACCACTAGCCTGAGGGCCACAGGAGCTCAAGGAGATCCCACTCACTCGTGCGTGCCCAGCTCTGCCTTTCCAGCAGCGCTCTGATAAGCTCTCCCAAGAAAGAAAACTAGCTGTGCTTTAGTTACACACCGAGAGATACAGGCATTTTTTGCCAAAATGTTGCAGAGAATCAAGCAAGGACTTGAGTCAAGTCCTAAGAGAAGCCCATGGGGCTGATGGACTTGCATGGAAAAGAAACTGCCTCTTTCATAGCGTTTCCCAGCAGCCAAAAGGTAACCAACCGGTCAAACAGCTGACCGACCACAGGTCTCTCGCTTGGCAGTCCCAAGTACCAGGATGGGAACAGGCAGGATTTTGCTGCTTGGCTCTCGACTGCATACGCATCTAAGGGAATCCAGTCCCACTGTGTATTTTTGTCATGCAACATATCAGAAAGGTTCAAAATTCACCAGGTCAGTAGGAAACATTCTAGCCAGCCAACCTGGCCTTAAGTTATAAATATATATCTAGCCTACATTGACAGTTTCACGATACTGCACATATCAGATAAATACCCTTGCCGAATGGTGTGCTCTTGCTGGTCAATGCTATCTAGTTTCTTCATTGAGTTGTGAACCGCAGAATTTTATTAAAGGGTAGTATGAAGACTAGCTCCAGCGCACAGCCCTATTTGCTGGGTCTGTACCCTTAGGAACAAACAGCAATTGCTGCTGGAGACAAAAACTTTTAATCCCAAAGCTCCACGGGCTTCCAAAATGCAAACTGGAGAATGTTCCTCTGCAGAAAGTTTTATAGCGAGCAATAAGCATTCACGGGAGGACAGGCACTCGGTGACTGCTCAGCTGCACTAAAGCTATTTTTACTTCAAGGTAATTGCTTGCCAATTAACTTGAGGTGGTTAACATGTTTGTACAATCCCAAACATTTGTTCTGGGACTTAAATGTTTATGGGCTCAGTCCAGGGTTCACCTTGACCAACCAACACGTTAAAGCTGTCCCGTGCCTTGTCTCCCCTGCAGGTGCATGCCTGCCTCCCTCGAACTCACTAGCGCCTCCTTGATTTTTGTGGGGATGGCATTTCAAAGAGTGTCACCTGTCATGCTTTAGCTATGAGTCATAAATCCAACCGTTTTTCCCAGGATTGAGTCTATTCAGACATTTTGAACCCCTCCCTTCCCCCCCCCACCCCCC